ATGATGATATTAAAAGTGATGACAATCATAATGATGTGATGATGATATTAAAAGTGATGACAATCATAATGATGTAATGATGATATTAAAAGTGATGACAATCATAATGATGTAATGATGATAATAAAGGTGGTAGCGATGTTTATTTTAACGTTGCGCTGGTCTTATCCCTTTGATACTTAATGGTGATGATGGTAATCATAGTTTGTTAACTTGATCATGAACATGAATGGGCATCAGTAAATCAGATGATATTATAATGAAGACGATCGCCGTTTTTTATTCAAATATTGATACCTTTCATACTTTTTTCTATTTCGCAGACAATTTGCGAGCTCAAAAGTCAAATTGTTGCTTCACTGGATTTTCAAATCACTCCAGGTAATAAACAGAATGCCTGGTGTTTCTGTTGGACCTAGAGACTAGGTGCTTCTTTTGGGACGCGCGGCTTATATTTATATTTTACAACCAATGCTTCCGTGAGGGAATCTCAGTGCCGCAATGCACATAATTGTTTGATTTTTACGGAGGGAGACGTTCCTGAGATTGCAGAGTAAACCTATGATGGCTCTCACAACTGCGGTTCAGTCATGCACCGTAGTAGTGCATGTCAATCACCCATGCCTCCCCAAGATATGATAATGGAACATTATTATGGTCATAGCTGGATACAGTTATTTCAGAAATAAGGTGGTTAAGATTTTATTGCATACTGCATACCAAGCTTTAAATGTGTAATATATTCATATATAAATAATAATGTCATCATAAAAGATATTATACCAGAAAAACGTGTAGACAAAGAGTTGGGAAAATTCCATATCGTTGTAACCTTTCGCTGATGATATTCACATCGCTCATAGTGCATCTGGCTTGGTATGCGATATGCAACAAAACCTTCACCAACCTCTTTATAGCTGCGCTTAGTTAGTCTCTAGTAGCTGTTAGAACATCGAATATCGACCTATTTTAGAAGGTTCCTGTACGTGGTAGGAAGGTCTGTACTTTTGATAACGTTATTGTTTGAATCTCAGATCAAAGTTTTGTTGTTCGAGTAGATGACCCAGCGTTTGGACTTGGACCGCCATGTGAGTACTGCGTATGATGTATCATGTAGGTCGTTCCTATTTTCTCTTTCTACTTTTCTCCTTCTCTTTTTCTCTCCCCTCGAAATCTTCAATCTTCCTCGTGAAAGATCAGAACCAACATATGGTGGGTATAAAATATGTCATATATCATTCTTCTCTTCCCTTCCAYTCCCTTTGTTTTTCATTTCTTTTCTTTGATTCCTGTTCTGTCTCCCTCCCTCCCTTGTTTAGTTTTCAATCCCCTCATCACAGTTTTTAGTTTCTTTACGCATCCTACACCCATACAAAAAGTGAGGGTTATATATTTGTAAAGAATGTAAGGTTTCAAAGTCAAATGGCAGATCTAATGTTGCTTTGTTGATATTCAGTGTATGATCATCAACGAATTGAAAATGTTCTTGCCSGCAAACACACAGTAGTCATAGAAACTGGAACACCGATAACCGAGAATCAAGTAAGTCTGCAGTCATGGGGCCGCGTCTATAATTTTTTCCGTATTCGGCATAAAAGTTACCATTATTATATTACATATACCTACTTCGAAGATCGTTGTCGCACCAAGAGCCTCAAGTAACAAGCCATGGCTCCAGAGAACGTCGGTACTTTTAATTATAATTGATTTATTCATGGTTCATGCAAGTGGCTATAGCTCTACGCTAATTATCATCTCAAGCAGCCTTGCTTGGAGCAATTTGTGAAGTCAATAAATGAAAATGCACAATGAATAAACTAATTACGGCTAAAAGTACCGGCGTTCTCTGCGGTCTTGGCTTGTTGCTTGAGGCTTTTGGCGCGACAACGATTTCTGAAATAGTTATATATGTATGGGACCAAGAGTCCCGTTCGCACTTGTCACTTTGGGTAGCATGTTGGTTCTGTAATTTTCCTTCCAGATTGATACCCAATAAAGTTGTAAATTAAATGCATGAGATTTATGTGACTGACTGACCGACCTACCAACCGACTTTAGCTGTATGACATATACATACCAATGACATCATTAATATTTATTTTTAAGATCACAGTTCGTTTCTACTGTACCGCTAGTCATTCTAGAATTGAGCAGGAAATTATCCTAGAAAAAACCACAACCATACAGAACGTGAGTATTATTAGAACTTTATTTTAACTATAATATTGCTTTTTGTACGAAAACTGAAAGGTTTTTATTGTTATTTTTATGTGTTTATCGGTAACGCGCGAGGAAACACACTGTTTTTTGTTTTGTTTTTCAGTGTCTTCGTCTTATTGCTGAACAAGCAAACCTGGAAGGTAATCTGTTTGGTTTTTAAGGTTTTTCCCAGTCCTTTTATACCTTTGCATATTACTTCCATTTTATCATTTTCTCTTCGTCTTTCGTCTGTGGTTCTGTGTGCGAGATTTGGGGTAAATGATTATCTCGCGCACTGTGATTGGATAAATTYCGTACCATTACGGTAACACAATGCAACACATTACAGCCCTTTCTTTGTCAATCCCAAGCGTTTTTTCTTTATTGTTGGTTTTTACTTTTTCACAGGTTCGAACTGGCATTTGTGTAAGACAAATTGGTACGGAGATATAGCAAACRTCATCGACAATGAAGAAGGAACTCTCGAAGATGAACAGATTAAAAATGGCGACATGTTGGTGGTGGAGTCAGGCAGATTACCACCCAAGGTACAGTACTTACATCCTGATTGCATGACGTCATCTGTATAGCACAGGAAGCCCAGTCTAGTAGATGTTGGTTACATCCTGACTGCATGACGTCATTAGTCTAGCATTTTCTACTTTCACATCCCCATAATACTTTGCGTCTTTGGGGGTAGCCAGAGGGTAGAAACCCACTTATTTTGCTGAAGGCTGATCAGGCAATGTTGACAATACCTCGTTTGGTATCCAAAAATAAAATGAAGAAATAAAAAACAGAAAAAGGTAGAAGCTTGAAGACGTTTAAGGTAAATCTTAAACAGAAAAAAAGAAAAAAAGAAACAAAAAGAACTTGGAATAAACTGATAATCAGTATTGTACAGATAAAAGCAGGTATAGTATAAATTCAATTAAGAAACCTTTCAATTTGGGACAGTTTTTTAATTGGTTATCCCCCAAAGACGCAAGGCATTATGGGGATGTGAAAGTCGAGAATAGAAAGTCAGTTTTTTAGGTTTTTATAGTGCAAATTTCGATCATCTAAATGGCTCAAACTTTCGATTATTTTAGGGTTTTATTCGATTATCACTGTGGCTTTTTAAGAATCCCAATATAAACCTACACGAAAGTAATGGAGTCTTTTCCTGGATTGCTGCAGGAATACAAGGTACTTTTTGCTCTACTGCCTAACGTATATTTTGGTCTATCCCACAAGGTATTACATTGTGCAAGTCATATATACTGTTTTCATCAGTGAACGTCTATACGTCTATAGTTATCCATTGGTTAAGATTTATTTGTTGAACTGAACAAAAGTTCCAATATTTGTTTCTACAGATTTGCTTGGAGTGTCAACCACAAGCACTGGAAAAGACCAAATTGAAGAGGTAATAGACCCGTTTCGAATTCCAAATTACCGCTGTGTTCCTTGATTACAGACTTATTTGCACAGGGTTAGCCTCGTATCAGTGTCTAAATATTCACAAATACCAACAGTAAAGTAAAGAATGCACAACTTCAACAATACAAACACTTTGAAACTCGACGGACCTTGACTGGAACACGTGAATATTCTGCACAAAATCGAGGCTAAGCCTGAGTAAATGAGTCTGTGATCAAGAAACACAGCGGKAATTTGAAATTCGAAACTGGTCTATTGGTATAGAAATGCATGGCTGAGTCAAAAGGATATTTAACAGGGTGAAGGTAGTTCTTTTCTTAAAAGTAGTTCGTGGCATCTTGTTATGTAAAGCCATAATTGCTTTCTTTACAGTTTGTTCCTTTAGATGAAATAGAAATATCACAAGAAGGCACTTTATTGGACCTGAAGGTTAAGATAAACAACCTTTTACAGGTAAAATAAAGGAAATTCAATCTAGTCACTTTGTAGTTGTGAAGTGGAGAGATGGGCCAGGGCAAGTGGAACACTGAAGAGAAATGAAAAGGGACCGCTTGCTATACCCTGGTCCCATCCAGTTCTTCCCTTCCTCTCTTCTCCCTTTTCTTCAGCTGTCCTCTTTTTCTCTTCCTTCTTCCCCTCTCACCCCACCCCCCCCCCCTCTCCTTTCCCCATTCCTTCTTTTTCCCTCCCCCTCTCCCCCAATTTATCTAACTCTCCTACAAGCCAAGTACCTCCGAACTGAATTCTGGGTTTCACTTGACGTCATTTCCTGTCCTTTTAATAGAATTCTTTCTGGTTGACAGCACGTTTTCAGTGTTTGACCACCATTTGGAGCAGATAATATTGATAACATGCAAAGACTCAGCTAAATTACATTAAACAATTCATGTAGAGCAAGTGGGAGCTCGCCAGCACCATAAATACTGTCTGCACTCTGTATTCTTTAATAGGTCACTGAATACCTTTTCTGTGTTTGGTTTTAGAGAGAAAAGTTTGAGGTTTCTACTCCTGAGTGCTTGAGAATCCAGGAAATAAAGAACGGCTTCGCAGGAAGAGTGTTACGTAATAGCAACAAAACTCTAAGGTACATACCTCGATGTTATATCAATTGCCCTATTTCACTATGACGTCACATCAAAACAATCTATTGTTTAAACGCAAAGGATCATGGTCGTCGGAGGGGGTCAAATCAATGCGAATTCACCGACAATTGTTCYAAAACCYGTATCAATCCACGAAGAGAARTARAATAGCCAGCAAACGCTCAGAGTATTTTCTAGCACATACTAACACATATTATATCTAAAAACCAGGCCATTTTAGATTAAACTGTTTCGCTAGGAGTTAATTTTGTTGATTTTTCTATTGGATTTGGCGATTCTATCCCCCACATAAACAAGCAGTGACGTCATAGTGAAATAGGGCAATTAATAGTCCTGAGAACAATCCGAAGGGAAAAAAGCCGGATTACCAGGGGAAAACACTCGAAGCATTTGGTAGCTAAGTAATAGCAGAAACATGAACAATAACCTTAAAAACAACAAAAAGGACAACAACAATAGCACTGAACGATAACGACAGCAACAATAATGAACAACGACAGTAACAATAAAAACTAACAAACAGTATATCAACAAAAATAACAAAACTGACAGCACTTTATTGAAATATCGCGATTCCCTTTCCTCATAAGTTTCATTATTCGGGAATACGGAATATATTTTCTCTCAATTAGCCAGCATCAATATTAACCCGTATTGGGGGCTCAAAATCGTAATGAATTCTAAGAAGGTTGAAGTRCGATATTTTTTTCTTCCTGTTAATTTACGTGACCCTTCAAACATAGATGAATAAACTGTCACGCTGCAATGATGAAAATACGTGAATCAACAAAAGAGTAATAAACAGTTTTGCTTTAATTTTAGATTCTTAAAACTCAACTCTTCTTCAAAATTAAGTGTTCAAATCCTTCCAAAGGAGGAAAATCACAGGTTAGTTTGATAACACTTCTTTATGTTATGATGGTCTTGAAATGCCGACTCATGAGGTTCGGGAACTTTGGTTCCATATTTTCTTATTCGGATGTAATGTTTTCCTATTTTTAAGAACATTCCCTTGAGGATATCTTATTGAGGATATCTTATTGAGGATATTTTTTGTTTGTGTTTCATCAAGAGAAAATGAACTAAGAGAAGGAATCCCCGTGCCCCATCATGTGYACCCTTTGATACTATTTGWAAACTATTTTAAAACTCTTATCAACCGAGCTTGGTCGGTCTGTACATTCCGACCTCGGTCAAGATTATCCCGTACAGACCTCCCGCTCGGTTAATAAGATCTAATTATTAGGAATAAAAGATAAGACATGGCCGACCGAGACTGTTTGATTGAATGCACTAAAAGCTACCCAATTATTATTATTTATTTATTTTYATTATTTTTTGTTATTTTGTTTTTTGTAGTCTTTCAGCGATCTTACTCAACGTACGAAAAAGAGTTCCCGGGAAGAGACAGTACGAACCACAGCAACAGGTTGGTTAGGGATTGTACCGGCTATGGACGATTTTATTGGATCCTTTTTTCATCTATAAATCTGACCCTAGAGTCTGGCATCATTTTTTACTGAAAGCCTCAATTGTGAGGTCCATAAGGCCACCTCAGATTCTCCACATATCATTTTTGTAAACATCGAAGTGCCATTGACAAATGCCGCCACCCAATTGGATCGGTTGGTTGAGCATCGGACGTCCGTGCAGAAGGTCGTGGTTCRAGTCTCTGCCGGACCAACACTCAGGGTCTGAGGAGAAGGTGCTGCCTTTGTAATTAAATCTGCAACTTGTTTTTCAAGTGACTCGGWTGTGGACGTAACATTGAGGTCTCGTCTCTCCACACTACCTTACCCTGCAAGTGACGTAAAAGAACCACTGAGGACGTAACTCAATAGGGTTGCTCTCTCAGTATTATAATTACAAGTRAATATAAAAACTGTTATCCCTAGAGGCTCTAATGATTTCAACTAACTTATATATCGTGCAAATTGATCATCACTATTTAACTATTTTGTCTGAAAAAAAATCTGGCAGATTTTGTGAGTCTTGTTTAAATTTTTATAGGTTATCTTCGATCCGGAAGAAGGAGCTACACCATCCTCATTACGACAGTTCGTTAGTCACATCTACAATATTCCTGTTGAAAGAATAGTAATGGCTAAATACATTAGACACAAATATGACTGGATAGYTATCGACGATACACTTCCTTCCAAGGTAAAATACCAGGGCGATGCCTTGAACTGCGCGAGAGTCTCTAAGCATTCCTAAACAAATTTATAGTAAGAGAGTAGGAATAGTCATTTACCAGTGCTACAGGGGCGGATCCGGGAATCAAAGAAAGGATGGGCCGGAAAACTTCGTGAGAGACAACCTTCAAGACCGTATGCAAATACAATTACATTTTAATTTAAGTTACGTTTTAGTTTGCTACCATCATCCTTTGCACTGTTTCTTTAATTTGTCCAGTTAATTCAGCACTTATCTTACGAGAGCAACAAAATTGGAACAAGAAAAACTCTAAGCATGCGTCAAACTTCAAATTTTTTCGATACCCTGAAACAATCTACAACTAAGTCAGGGCACGGCTAACTCACAGATCATATTTAGCTCGTTAGGTTTTGTAGTAGCCCACTAGCGAGATATGCTTCGCTTGTCACGCACAAAGGTTTCAGTATGAGGCGACGTGYTAAATTAAATTTATTCTTACCGCCTGTCACGAATGACTGAGCATTTAGCACGTAGCCTCATACTGAAGCCTTTGTGCGTGACAAGCGAAGCATATCTGGGTAGTGGGCTATTATAGAACCCGGTGAAAACCCTCAAGGGAGAGACTTAACAAACCCTACTCACATGTGATGCCGAGTTCAGAAATTGAACCCGAGACCCAAGAAGTGAGAGGCGAGTGTACACCTTTTGCTGTTCATTAACAGAAAATGTACATTCATTTGTGCCAATAGTTATTTATACTATTGGCACAAATGAATGTACATTTGCTGTTAATGAACAGCAAAAGGTGTACTACTGCGACACAATCCTTGATTTCCCAAACAAAAATGCGCAAAACATTCTGGTATCGGTATTAAAATGATGCCGTATTTTAAATGCAATTCGGTCATTCCAGTTGACCCATTCAGCGTGGATCACGTGGGTCTTAATGTTTTCCCATTCCTGTCCTTTCCCGCCACTGGACTAAGTCTTGATTCTTCGTTTAATTTTCATTAAAATGAATGCATGTTCGACAAAAAAAGAATAATATTCAAGGGAATGGCAATTTTCCGAAATATTACACATATCTCTGAGGGGAAAGAAGCGGAAAGGAAAAGCCCCTAGTAGTGGGTAGGAGTGGATCCAGATTTTTCCAACAGATGGTTTCGYATGGTATTTAACCCGGAAGTAGCTAAGCAAAGTTGGTGAATTTTGTCATTTCCTACACTGATAAATGTTAGAAATAAGCAAACACCCCACCCACTGGATCCTCCCCTAGTGCCGGGGATCACCCTACCTTCATATTCAACCGATTATTGCTTGGATTAAATGCATAAATAATTTAATTAAGTTGATATTTATTTTTGAATAAATTTGTCACAGGTGAAAAACAAGAAAAATAAAGTGAACCTTCGACACTCACCGTATCATTTACAGGATGGTGACATTTTAGGTGTTAAGGTAAAGCACTAAAGCTACTCGTCAAATGTATGGATTTATGCTTCATGCTTTTGTATAACCATGGCCGGGGGAAATTAAACTGCTGGTAAACCATGGCAGTGTAGACAATCAAGGCAGGGTAAAGTTACTGACTCACAGCATGTCCAAGGTGCGACATGCCGTAACTGAATGAAAGGGCTTCCCATGGTCTTCTTGTAATTCATCCAATCACAATGTGTAGTTACGGCAACAGTAAGATGCAGTACCACTAAAGTACGGCTACAATTCGCCGTATTATTTGCCACTCGACATACGAATACCTCTGTTAGGCATGTTTGGTTATTTCTTAGGATGCTTCACAAAAGGCTTCTTCAGAAGACGCTTATGACTTTAGCACAAGCGAGGATGACGCTGCAAAAGAACAACTGAGACTAGAGGAGGAAGAAAAGATACAAAGGTTAATAGCAAATCAGGAGGGAGGGAGACTTGGGCAAGGTACGTTATTTATTGGGGAGGGGAGGGATGGGGGATTCGAAACTGTAGTCCTACCCATTTTACTCAGTGAGAAATTCATAACCCTCCTTTGAAGGAAAAGGAAACAACTTTCATCAAAATAAAAAAGCTCTGACCTTCCACAAAAGTTAAAATTTTTACTGATGACCCTCCCCTCTGAAGCCAAGCCTCCCCCCAATAAGAAACGTACCTTCCCTGAGCGCAATGTTTGCCCATTTCAGATCACGTGTCATTCCCTTCAGTATGATTTCTTTGTTCGCCTTCTAAACTCGGGGATGAACTCGGAGAAAAAATCGTTCTTTCTAGAATAATAACTGGTCTGAAATGGGAAACATTTTTTCCATTTAGATAAGGTCTGTTTGYGACTGTTCACAGTGGAAGCTAAACACTGATAAACGTTTGGCCCTCTCTATGCGGTTTAACGTCTCTAAATGACACTGGACTGCCATTTTATGARATCATCCGAGCCACTGCACAAGTCTAACTATTTGCACTATATTTGCAACACCTCAGATATATTAAGACCCCAAGTATTGGTGATGACTTGACTTGACCTACTACTTCCCGGACAACAGGCCAATACCAAACTAGATGGCAGGTGTTTATTTTATTCTTATTTTTCAACCTGTTTTGTAATTTTGCTTGTGTAACAGAAGAAGAGAAGAACGGAGCAAGCGACCAAAGCGAAGACCTGAAGTTGAACTCAAGATTCACGTCGAGGATTTTACAAAACGATGATGTATTGTATGCAAATAATGATAATTGAAGATAGTCAAATGTTTGGTTGGAAACGAGGTTCCCCGCCATTTCAGAATATATTCTATTTATTGGGAAAATGCACGAGCCACAATATATAGAAAGTGGTTGTACTGTGCCATGTGGGACATGAGCATTATGGTAAATCAGCCATAGCAAATCTAAAAGTAACTCAAAGTTACGGACTTGGGCTCCTCATAATGAATGCAAAGTCTAGAAATCTAGAATCCATTTGAAATGTAATTGAGTCATTTGGGGGGAGGGGGAGGGGGTAAGATCAATACCGTCCATTTCATGCAAAATCAATCAATCAACTTTATTTGGGTGTTGGACTATTAGCTGGCCTCAAGTAGCCTACTAATTGGGGACACTATAAATAAATATTTGATGAAGCTAAAAACTTCATTAAGTGTAGCTATAAAAACTTCAATTGTAATCCTAGATGTACCAGATGTAATCTGATCATACATATTCCTTTTTGGCCTTACTCTATAGGCTCAGGGTATAATCATGCAGAGGTTTTATAGGGATAGTTATTAGTTGGAATTAAAGCATTTCAATAATTTAAAAAGATCTACTACGACCTAATTGTCTGGTCATTTCAATTAATCTTTGAATTTTAGACCCAGTTTTCACGTGTCGCACCAGAAAATGTATCAATCAACACTTACTGACTGGGACCTAGGGAAACAGTGTGTTCTGTGGTCCCGAGACATTGTGAGGGAAAAACCGCCGTCGAGGGACCACAAAACACAMTGCYTTCACGATARCTCYTAAGTAAGGAAGATACTTGAGTTGTATGCTCAGGGGCGGATCCAGGGAAGGGGTGYAGGGGGTGCGCACCCCTCCCCGGTTCCACTTTGTGTCCCTACTTCGAAGACAACCAATACTGTTTTTTCCCTTTGRTTCTAAGGGGTGCACCCCTCCCTGGGTTGACTTTGTGCGCAGCACCCCTCCCTGAACAAAATCCTGGATCCGCCCCTGATGCTCCGGCTAATAGGCTCCTGGAACATTAAGGTTTTTTCTTCATTCGTTTGGTGCTTCGTCACGCGTTGCTATGGAACCAGAATCAACAAGCTCCTTGATTTKACTGTTGTCATATCCCAGTACGTCACGTAATACTTCACTAGTGTGTTGTCCGAGTAACGGAGGTGAACGCACAGGGACAAGCGATGTTTTTCCATCGTATTCTACAGCTGGACCTGAAARGGTACAATTTTTTAGCATTAATAGACCACATACATACTATGTACTTATTGCTGAATGGGAGAGGGCCGAACGGGAAAATATTTGGCTCAAGGTGATGCTATAAATAATGATAAGAAAAGAAAAGAAAGAAAATAGGGTCGCAGGTTTCGAGCTTTGAGCGAGCAGGGCGAATCCGTACGGCCCTGCTCACGTCATTTTCCGGAAGGTTTTTTTAAGAACGCGCGCCCGGGCAGATACGGGTCATACCGTTAACACTTATTTCGTACATGAACAAAAGGAAAGGTTGCAGTATGCTGAGTATATGTTTTGACTTTCATGATTCCTGACGTGTATTGAGAGAGTGAGCACTTTGACTGTAAGATGTTGGCTGTACAAAGGAACTTGAAGGGGTAAAATGAGAGCTGGGATTCGTCTTTGGGCTGGGAAAATGGAATTTTATGCACTGGGAATGGGATTCACAAACAAAAAAAAAACAATCGAAAAATTGGAATGGGATTGAGGTTTGAGCAARACATAGGCTGGGACTATGGGATTAGTTCAAAATGGTGGCTGTGAAACGGGATTAGGACCCCCCTCTCCCCCTTCAGGATCCCCTATCTCGTGACCATGCAGTTTACTGTGGTATTCACACTCAAGCCAACTCTTCTCACAAGCAAATCTGACGAGAGAAACTTACCTGGAACTTGCAGTGGCCCAATCGTAGGATGTTCCAACTCTTGAACTATGTTCTTGTACTTGACCTAAAGAGAAACACGTGAAAACTAAGCAACAAAAACATTTTATATACAATCATGAATGTCATTAACGTTGTCCACCGAAAAAAAAACATTCACACATTTACACATTTAGACTAAAAGAAATATCACATGTTTCCTTGAACGCTCTGGCATAAAACAAATGCTGAAATGCCATTCTCCATCTTATATCCTCACTAAATGGTCGGGGCATTCTGGADTTTCGATTCACGAGTTGAATTTTACATTTAAAGTTCAGGCTGACGAACACGAGGCGAAGAAAACATAATAAAAACGTGATATTTATTTCTTTTAGTCTAGATGTCTAAATGTGTAAACGTCTAAATGTCTTTTTTCGGTGACAACGTTAATGACATTGACTGTATATATGATATGTAATTTTGAACTAAATCTATAATCAAGACATCGTAAAGGGTGCTACCTATACCTTCAGCCTTGAACCCCTCTCAGTCAATCAACACTTAAGGCGTGCAATCAAACTAGTAGTAAGTTTAAATATAAAGTTGATATCCTACCATGTCCATCTCTACAATTTAATAGTGCATTCAGACACAGTCAATTCAAAAAACGTTGTCGTCGACCGGCTCAAGCCTACGCGACTGGACCGAAAGAAATATGGGTAAAAATCACTGAAGCGGTTAAATATTCGTTCTGAATCAATTGTTCCTGCTAGTAATAAGATAATAATGGCCAGGAACAATCCCGCATCAAATGCACTGTCKTTGGGGTTAGGGAGAGAAAAACAAAGTAGTTATGATTCAGTTCACAATTCCGAAAATATGAAGGCATTAGAAAAACGTCTCCTTCAACACTTTCCGYTCGTCTACGAAGGTTCGTGCTGTAAACCAGGCATAACTATTCAGATAAAATTATGGAGTCAACTCGGCTTCAATGATTACTACCCAGAGTTCCTTTCGGTCCAGTCGCGTAGGCTTGAGCYGGTCRACGACAACATTTTTTGAATTGACTATCTACCTGTGGATCCTCAAACACTTGTTYGACGTCATTGATAGGGCCATAGGGAATACCGCTGTCCTCTAACAAATGTAGCCATTCTTTGGTCGTCTTTTGCGACAACCTTTATAAGAAAGATAAAAAAAACGTTTTTATTCACCAGTTTGAGCGAAGCAATCCAGTGGCGCCATCTGGACTAGTACTAGGGCTGGCATGGAAGGCGAGACGTGCACGTTTTGGCGCGAAAAATTCCCGCCAAGGAGTTTTATCAGTAATGAGAACCATAGTTTTGGCGCGGAAAATCCCCTCCAAATTCATTGGAGTTTTAACGATAGAACTGAGCCACGAGAGGATGAAAACTATGTTTTTGGCACAAAAAATTCCCGCCAAATTTATAGGAGTCCTATTAATAAAAGCCATTGAGAACCTTAGTTCCTTAGTCGTACAGGGCTTATTTGCTAGACACCTAATAAACTAAAAAGTCGCTCATTTTTAACTTTTCTAGTCTAAAACCTTAAATATCGACACTTCTCGAGTGTTTTGCCAATCCCAAGTGTTTTTTAACTCCATACAGCACAGCAAGCTTTTTATTTCTTTTATAAAATGCAAAGGGCGCGGGCGTGCTGGGTGCTGTCATAAGACACGCGCTCCCAACTAATCAGAATGCGAGATTTATAACCAGAATCACTGGTCGCTCGACCAATCACAGCGCACGAACTGAGCCTCTATATTGAAGTCTAAAATTATATTAAAAGAATGTTACAGCGCTTCACCGCAAATGAACCGTTTTGTTCCAAATCAATATCACTAAGCACATACCGGTCAGAAAGAATCGTCAGTAGCTCTTTGCGATTCTTAACTCGCTTGTCGTTAGTTTTATAATCTGGATCATCAGCAAGACTTGGCATCTCTAATACCTGAAATATTTACTCTAGCATTACTAATCAAATTTCATTGATTCTTTTACAGAGATTTCTGTTTCTATTCATGCCCTTTTTTCGTGTATTTGAGTTCCGCCAATCAAAATACCAACGATCTGAGTTGTTGATTGATGGAAGCCAATAATAACCAAGAGGTTTGTGTCGGTTAATTCTCATTAGTTGCCGTATAAATGTAAGAGAATCTCCAGAACAAGTGATTTAATTGCTCAAGGGAGATCATTTATACAAATAAATTTAAAATTTTTTATTAAATTATCACAAATTAACACCCATGTTTTTTTTTTGCAAGATTATATTTCACAAGTTTTTTAATTGAATCTTGGATCACATTTAGACACAATCCGAGTCTATGATGATGTTACAGTGCAGTAACTAAACATAAATTGAAGTAACACAAGAATTCTAAAGAAAACGTATTGTAACAACAAGCAGTGATCATTGTTTGCTGACCTTGCAGAGCTTCTGAAAAAGCCCGTCATTCCCTGCACCAATCAAGACATGACCTGCATCTGAAGTCTTGAACGCCTGAGGGGGAAAAAACAGAAGAATGACCTTGGAGCTGTACGATTGGGAAATGTCGCTGATGACATTTTTAACCATTTGAAATACTTTTTCTCGTAAACAGGAGACTCGCTTTGATCCAATTATAACTCAAACTTATCTCCAAAAAGATCATCTTACAGTAGACACCGAATCGACTATGGCGACCAATATTTGAGTAACTATTTTTCTGCACTGACTAGGGTGGAAGATAGTTAGTAGAGGGTCGCGTATAGAAACATAAAAGCGTCTTCACATGTATGAGAGGCTAGACAGTCGCTAGTCAGTTCAGACAGTTGACTTCTAAAAGAGTCTGATTCAACTCGTCGCTTAAGCTGACAAAATGACAATAGTTTTCAAAGAGCTGTATACCTGGTAGGGAACTATGCTATGGTGTGCAGTACCATAACGTCCTGTCTTGAAACCTGTATTCAGAAAACTAGTTGCCACGTGACTCAAAACAGCAACCTGCAAAAGAAATTTAAAGCTAAAGGAAACTACAATAAAGYGCTTTGCACCAGCACAATACATAGAAGCAATGACTGCACACAAATCACTAGGATGTATTTTCACTGTAGTGTAGCATGAGAACTACTCTGGATGCAAGAGAGATGAAACCTCTGAAATCAAGGGTCCTAGATTCCTTGCTTTATTCTCTCCTGTGACACCAGAAGAATTGAGGGGCTTTGCACCATCACGTGATGGCAGCCATGGCAGGAGGAAGGAACAATTGAATTTAGTCGAATCTAATTTACATGAAGAAGAATGCAGTTTCCAAGGGGAATGAGTCTCGTTGAGCCTCCCGTCATGGCTGCCATCACGTGATGGTGCAAAGCTTAGCGTGGTAATGCTTCCAGTCAAAGCACCAAATATAAAACAGTCAACCTTCCTAACACCTGACCTCAAGCTAGCTCCCTGCATATATTTAACAAATAAAACAGCTTTYTTCGTGTTCCGTTCAGTAATAAACATGCAGAAAGTGACGTAAGTGTAAGGAGAAGCACGATCCGTAGGCGAGTGCTTCTCGCACTTCTCGAGTGCTTACGGCGCTTCCTAAGTGCTTTATTACTGAATAAACCACGGAAAAAACTGTTTTATTCGTCTTATTACATAGCCACTAATTTTATTTCGGTTTTGAATTTATTTACGCAAAGAGAAAGACGGTCGCAGGATCAAGCAACAATTAGCAAGCGCGGATGGTGTCACCACTGTGCTCCGTTCTCTAATAAAGCACAGTTTTCGACAAATCATCRCGCGCGTACTATCCTAGCTATATAATAAAAATAAATAAGGCCTTATCATTGCAAATAAAAACCTGATGATGCTATGAAGCATTTTGTCTTACCTGAGATGCCAGAAGTGAACAATCTATCTTTTTCCCTTTCCCAGTTTTCTGTTTGTCAATCAAGGCAGCCATAATTGCTCCATGTGCGTAGAGACCTGTTATCAAATCTGTCAAAGCCACTCCAGTTTTACATGGTTCACCATCCTATGATATTGGAATTGGATATTGGAATAAGCAGTCGAAGGTCCTACTGGAAGTTTTTAARAAATGACCATTTGAAAAAAAGTTTAACTTATTTTCTTCAACCTTCAAGTTTTATTGAACCGTGAATGACAACCTCAGAGAACCCAGAGAAAAACCCAGAATCAAAGGAGAGAACTCAAAAACTCTACCCAGTTGTGGTGCAGAGTACAGGAATAAAATGTGGAATCCCAGAATCCCAGAAGTGGTGAATGTATTATACTGCTATGCCACCCTCACTGTCCGAGAGATACAAGATCTGGAATGCCTCCCATTATACTGACAACTTAAAATATTGGCCCATCACTCAGACCCCTTTCAAAAGCATCGATCTTTATGCTTCTTACATACCTCAGGACCAGTGATACTCATCAGCCCTCCAATAGCTGATACAATGACATCATATCCAGGTCGCTGGTCATACGGACCACCTGGTCCATAACCAGTTATTGAGCAATAAATAAGAGAGGGATTGTGCTTGCTCAGAGTAGTATAACCAAGTCCTAGCTTATCAAGCTTCCCAGGTAGGTAATTTTCAAGTACAACATCACTTTTTCTTGAAAGCTTTAGACAGAGAAAAGTAGCTGTTACATTTGTAGCGTAGTGGGTTGCCTGTGGAACATAACCACAGGGAGCCCAAACCTAATAGTTGCTCTAAGATTCAAATATAAAGCAGGATTTAATGGTATGATTTACCTCTTGTATCAACTGTGCTCCTTTTGGATCTTTGATGTTAACTGCTAAACTCTAAAGAAAGATGTTATTATACAACTGTCAACTTTAGTTTTTTTAGTATGGAATATCAAACAGGTAATAGAGGAACACTACAAATCCTTTATTCTGATTGGCTGTGCTTCTAGAGGCCTACAACCATATTAGTCCATTGGAAGAGAAAAACAAACTGAAACAAGAGCATTGGTAATTTTCTCACATCTTGCTGCAGGGCTAAAGATAATGGCCAGTCATCAAATAATAAAAAGGTAAAGTACCTATATTTAACGTCGGTACTTCCTTCAGTTAAATTCAACTGCTATCAATGGAAGCCGACGGTGCGCACTTTACCTCCTCTTTCCATCAGTGCTCTGTTTTAAGAGCATTTAAAACTGAAGCTACATGGATTAGAGAAAGTYGAAACAGAGGTGGAGATCCTAAGGATCGAACCATGGACCTCAAGTTCTGAAGGTCTACCAACTGAGCTACGTCTGCTCCTATATCCAGAATTGGAATTGTCTGGTCAAATACCAGTAACATTGARTCAGAAATGAGGTCAATTTGACTTGCCACTGAGGAGTCATTATCTTTAGCCCTCTGCTCAGAGCTTCAGTCATTTATTAGGTTTATACTGGACTATTTGAATGCACCTGCCAATCATATCACATAGATGCATGTCCATCAACTAGCACTATATCACTACCTTTTTGTTTCTGTTCACTGACAAAAAATATGTACTTTCTGAACCTATAAAAGGAGGGCCCCAGGATCTTGTATCATCTCCAGTTCCTGAAGTAATTTATTAAGATATACATTAGTATGCACGTAGTTAATAGAGGGGGACCAGTCCCCACTATATTAACTTATGGCTTGCAGAATTGCAAGATTCTAATATTATTATGCAAATAATTGAAATCATATTCTCTTTAACATATGTGTTATCTTTAACATATTTAAAAAATGCAATCAAATATTTTTTGCTGTTTACGTATTATTACCAGGTTTTTCTATTTTAATGACTTCAGCCCCAAGATCAGTAAGAAGCATGGAAGCAAATGGACCAGCTAAAACTCTGTACAAACAAAAATGAAATGCTAATATTAAAATGGGCACTTTTTACAAACAACTTTATAGGCTGTCAACAGCATGCTTCTCATAACAGTCCAAATGAGTATACTACTCCATAATTCATCAACTAGCTAGCAAGGTCACAACAGATATTTAAGTCTTCTTCCCATATATAATTCCAATTTTACCTCTTGCTTTTTTATCCCATAAGCATCCTGTGGCAAAAGGGATATTTATATCAGAGAACCATTGATAAACACCAAAAACCAGCATTACCTTGTAAGATCTAGGACTCTAATACCAGACAATGGACCTCCATCATGATGGCCTGCACTATCTACAGCAACAACAACAACAACAGCACAATCACGATAAATATTACAATATTTTCCAACAGATGAACACATAAGATCAACTACCCACCCCTAACGTGCAGATTTCTGCAGAAACTCAATCTAATCGAGCCAACACCAGTAAATAAATAAGATATTTTCTTCCATCGCAAAATCATTGTTAGAAACTAAGCGATTACCATATCATAACCATGGCTCGACCGCTGGCCATTAGTATCGCGTAAAGGATTCAAAATGGCGTTTGTTGATGTTGTTCAGCACCCGATTATCCGAAGAAACCGGCCAGGAACCAAGGCAAAAGTGAGTAATTCCTCATTCCGTTGTTAATAAGACTTTTCTTAATGTTTGTAGATATTATCTGAGGAAGGCTTGGATGATAAATTTTGAAATTTCGTGTGTTAGGGTTGTGACATTTCGACTGATGTGGATGGACCCGGGGATGGAGCTTTCGTTCACGTTTTGATGAGTTTTGATGCTGTGTCAAATAATTCAGCTTATTGGTCTTCAACTTTTTGTTCTTATAAAGCTTAAAGCCTTGGAAAATACTAGGAAGATAAGATATTTGATTTTAAAAATGATTGATTTGTGATAAATGATGAGTTGTTTGGTTTGACAATGTAGCCTTTGATCTGATTTAACAAAAGCCCTTTATGTATGTTTTTATTAAATAAGGTAGTGATGTAGTATTCCCATTTGTAGGCTACAAGATATAAAATAGGTTTTGAAAAGTTATCAAGATATACTTGACACAACTCTTTGTATTTAGCCACAATCACATATCTTTTTTATATCCATTTACTCCGACGAAGGACTAACGTCCGACACGTCAGTTTCACAAAGCTTTTTACGGTGATTTAATTTATCTACAAGTTCCTACTGTTTTATTCAGAAACACCGACGCAGTCCACGCTAGTTCTACTAGTTATCACCACTCGTATATCTTTTTTCAATGATTTTAAATACAAAAATAGTACTGTGTACCAGAGTATAAAGTGAGCCAGTCCTCTCTGATATTAATCAAATTTGGTCAACAGTCTATCACCTATTTTACAATAACTTACAAATTTCTTGCGCGCTGATTGGTTATTTTTTATCATCAATAAGAGGACAGACAGATAAAGCTGACGTCAACCAGCACGCACTCTTTCCATTGGTTGTTTTGATCGCTAAAAATGAGAAGTTTTTATCGTTTTTGTTATTGAAAAAAACAAATTGACATCAGATTTTTATGTGTCTGTTCTCTTATTGACAATAAATTTCGCCATCACAGTGTCAAAGTAGTATGCGCACTACTTTGACAATGTGATGACGCAATTTATTGTCAATAAGAGGACAGACACATAAAAATCTGATGTCAATTTGTTAAATCTTCATGGATAAATTGATTGATGATCAGTAGTCAACTGATGAGTTAATCATGTATGATTCAATACAAGCAGCTTGGCATATATAAGGGAGGCAACAGGGGCATAGCCAGGATTTTTCAAAGGGGAGCCCAAACAAAAAAAAAGCTGACAGTCGTTTTACAATTTTATTTTTACATAAAAGAATCTCCAAAAGTATAATCATTGTTTTGTTTCAATACTTATTCTTCTTCGTACATACTTTCATAGGACATGTATAAGTGGCCAGATGAGCCRTTTGAAGAAATGGACAGTACACTAGCTGTACAACAGGTAAGGGAATAAACTAAAGAAGAAACAGCAAATTTTAGTTTCCTGAGATTCTTTACGATTAGTAAGCTGAGGAAGATGCGAGCAGTGAAATGGAAACAAAAGTAATAATTGTTCCTAGAGGAGCCAGTTACAGCAAAGAGGGACATGTTTACAGCGCTCATCAATCACACTTGCAAAATCGTAAAAATTTCTATTGCGACAAAATAAGGTTTTRGTGGACCAAAGTGTCAACCAAAGTGTTTCCATGACATTGCCAGAAAACACAAAGCTTTCGAGGGCATGTGACTATGGAATGTTGTGAAAATGCCTTGATTAATGTTCACTAAAACCTCCTTCGTCGCGATGGCAAATTATACGATTTCGCTCRTGCGTTTGAGAAGCACTGTAATGGATATTGAACTGAATCAAAGACACAATAATAATAATTATTATTTTATGTTGGTACAAGACCCATGTCATTTTTGAATYGTAATATTTGTCTTCATTTACCCCAGTCGATAGTCAACTTTTAATATTTTGGTTGAGTGATGAAGCACAAAACCATACAAGTCAAGGCTCCAGGAAAACAAAAGAATAAGTTTGATTGCCTTATTTATTATTTCCCCAGAGCCTTGAATAGAAAGTGCAAGCATAAATTTATTTACATGTATCTGTTAATGTTACTAAAGTTTTGAATTCTCTGTGTTCATAGTACATTCAACAACAGATCCGTGCTGACTACACTAATCTTAATGGCATCTTAGAGCCACCGGAAGGACAAGATGAAGGAGTCTGGAAGTATGAGCATCTAAGGTTAGTATTCTCGTAAGCATTTAGATAGAACAGGACTGACTTGTTTAAAGCCATTTCATAGTACTCATCATTTACTAAAGACTTTTGTGGTAATTGATAACTTGCTATTATTAAAAAGGCATTTTTTAATTGAATTTCAGACAATTTTGTATGGAGCTCAATGGAATAGCTGTTAAATTACAGGTAGGAATTGACCTGTCATATTACATATATCTTCCTGAAATGTGCTGTATTTAYATGAAAGGGTAACAATATTGCAAATTCATCTTTTTAACTGTAGCTTTTGTGTGGTTGTACATGTACATGAACTTTGCTACATGTATATACTGTAGTCCAGCATCATTGGTGGGCAGAGAGAGGGGCCTGGAGTTGACCAAATGACTGTTGACCTCCTCTTTTTTAACCATCTTGGGACAGATACAGCATTACAGTATGACTACTACTGTTATTATTATAATAACCAGGGCCACTTAGACAGTGAGAACCAATCAAATTGTATAATAAAAATAATACATTCCAACTTTGGATAGTGGAGCCAATGAGAAAGCAGCAGAAAATAATAGCCTTTCCACATATATTTTTATTCCCACGAGAAAATGACAATGAAAATGACACCAGGGCCAACTTACCATTCTTGTGCAGTCTAGGTTTCTGATTGGCTACACTACCCAAAGTTGGAATGCATTGTTTTTATTCTACATTTTAATTGGTTCTCTTGTTTAGCTTGTGTAGGTGGCCCCAGTTATAGTAGTTGCACTGTAAGTTTGTGGTTCATGTTCAGTTCGTGTATTTTTATTCTTATGAGAGAAAATATATCACTTTAATCTCATTTCAGAATGAATGTTCCCCAGCAACTTGTACTCAAATGACGGCAACAGAACAATGGATATTCTTGTGTGCTGCCCACAAGACTCCTAAAGAGGTTGGTACATCAATTGCAAATAATTAGCATCATTTCATTTCTTCCTTCGAATCCCGGGGGGACTCCAGGAAAAAAGTACCGTGGATGCTCCTCGGAATTTTCAAAAAGACCCCTAAAAGATACTGGAACTCTTTAAAAAAAGGGTGTGCCTGAATGATTTTTAACACCTAAGAGATACCACAACAAAAAATATTAAATTTTATATAAAAAGCGCCTAGGATAAGCCATATTGATGCACGCTTCACTCTTTTTCCAACACCCTAAGAGATACCWGAAAATGCTGATTTTCAAAAATTCRCATTTAACACCCTAAAAGATACCAAATTGTGAATTTTTACCCCTAAGAGATACGACGAGCATCCCCGATAATTTTTTCCCAGAGTCCCCCTTGGGCTTCAAATATCCCAGCCCAGATGTATCCTGCAACCCTCAATCACAAAGACATGTCTATATTGAATTTGTTTCAAGTGTCTTGTTTTCTTTATGGTGTAACATACTTTTAATGGCTTTTATTTATTTTTTTTATTTTTTATTTTTTGATCAACAGTGCCCAGCAATTGACTACACAAGACACACTCTTGACGGTGCTGCATCTCTCCTTAACAGCAATAAATACTTTCCAAGTAGAGTTAGCATAAAAGAGTCATCAGTGGCCAAACTTGGTTCTGTTTGCCGTAGAGTTTACAGGATTTTTTCTCATGCATATTTTCACCACAAAACACTATATGATGAATTTGAGGTAAGAACCATCATGTAGGATGTCTAAYGTAAATGCAAGATATTTGTACATTGTGAAGTAATGGGGAGATGAGGTAGAGGGATACGGGTAGGGGGTTAGCTCTCATCTAGACAACAGGGCAAATCCAGGAAACTCAGAAAGTGGGATACCTGTGTTCGCAAGGGTGGATCCAGGGGGGAAGGGGGGCTGAAGCACCCCTTCAGCAGAAAAAAACAAACAAAACAAAACTGAAGAATTAGATGCTTTTTTATTGTTTTCCGTTGTATTGATGGAAAAACTCAATTAGCCCCCCCTTAAAATCAATTAGGTCGTTTTGAATTATGGTTTTATGTACTATAATTACTAGAATCCTTTGCATTCTTTGTTATCTTTGTTGTTGAGTAAATTAGCACTTGATATTTTCATTGAATAAAAAGATAATTTGAAGCATTTATAGATGAATGAGGTCAGTACGCAACTTACAGCCTATTTGCTATTTTACATTTTATGCCATGATAATTACTATATTTCTAATATTATCTTTATTTTGGTAGAATGAAACTCATCTATGTTCAAGGTTCACAGCTTTTGTCTTGAAATACGATCTCATGGCAAAAGAAAACTTAATCGTACCCATAGAAGATGCCAAGACATTAACCCGTAAACCTAGTGAAGATGAAAACACAGCTGATCATGAAGAAAGTGATGCTTAAAGCTATTAACATTATGACCTCATGGCAAAAGAAAACTTAATCGTACCCATAGAAGATGCCAAGACATTAACCCGTAAGCTTAGTGAAGATGAAACCACAGCTGATAAAGAAAGTGATGCTTAAAACTACAAYTACAAGATGTGTAAAAAGAAAATAGTTATGTTTTTCGTTAGAATAATYATGAACAACTATTCCCTAAAGCAAAGTGAATGTAGGTGAACCTTAGTGGATATTTACTGAAACGTAGTAGAGGGAAATATTTACCATATTCACTGAGCCTGAGGTGGATTATTGTTTTGGTATAATTTTAGACTTAGGCCCAGGTCAGACGCCGTAATTCACATGAGCCGAACCTAATTGTAGTTTGGATCGACTTATGGAATTAGATCGACTGGGTTGAGTCAATCGTCGAACTTATTACGAGTATTTACAGTCGTACCAAAAACAATCATTTTTACCACAATTGTAAATTTTCTCGCGCGCTGATTGGTTAAAAAACGTCGTAAATAAGAGGCCATACCAACAAATGGCGTCATGCAAGATTTCGTGCAGTCTATTTCCTAGAGTTTTGTGAGTTTCGTAGTAAAAAACAAATTTACGATGGTTTAGCGTGGTATGTCCTCTTATTTACCACGATATGACGCCAAACGTTGGTCAAAATTAGTTATGGACCCACTCGGCTTACGCCTCGTGAGTCCATAACATTTTGACCAACTTTTGACGTCATATCGTGGTAAATAAGAGGACATACCACGCTCAACCATCGTAAATTTGTTAAGTTTGAGTGGTCAGCGGCAAACGCATCATGATGGCGTCTGCCGTAGCAGCTCGCCGGATATTGCTAATWAAAAAAATTTTGAATTCAAGAAGAAGACGGGCTACCATCAAAAAAATCATCATACTTTTGCAAAAAAGAAGGGTGGCACTTCTACGTGTATGTTTTGTTTCTGCTCTTCTTCTGCTTTCGCGAAATGAAACGGACGTACGTGAAAGAGCATGTAAACGCTTTGCACGTAATTTTGGTTGGTTTGAAATTGTCTGGAACAATTATTCAGATGAACGGTTTAAGAAAACATTCAGGGTTTCCAGGGGAACATTCCTTTACATTCTCAGAAAAATCGAAAATCATCCGCCATCTTTGAAGAATGCTCAAGTGCGCATGCGCTTTAGTGATGGTTAATGAAAACGAGGCCAAAACATGCGTTAACATAATGCATTTGGATCGGCCCATGTGAGGTACGGCGTTTGACCCGAAGTCGATCTTCAGTCGTTCATCACGACTGACCTAGTCGTGAAGAACGACTTAGTCGGTCCAAATTGAATCAGTCGAACTTAATTGGGTCAGACGCCGTAATTCACATGACCTTATTACCCTGTATTAGGTTCGGCTCATGTGAATTACGGCGTCTGACCTGGGCCTTAGAGAAATTAGAGACAAGACAACAGGAGAAAAATATACTTTTCAGCATAACTGCCGCTCTGGCAAACTTTGGGAAACCTCATCACCGCTTGACCATTGATTATGGTCTCATARCCAATGGTCACTCAACCAATCAGTGAGAGAAGCTCTATACTCAAGTCTAAAATTATACTAATTTCTAGTATAGACATGAGCCATCACGGCAAGTGAATATACAAGAAAGTATGTGGCAAGTTGAATATTATGGTTTATTAGTAAAAATACGCAGGTGATTATAGAAAATCTCGCGCGCTGATTGGTCAAGAAACTCACACTATCACACGATAATCACCTCGAGCGAAAATCCAAAATGGCGGCCAGCCGCTTTGTTGCTGTTACCGGGAATAATGCCTTTTATCTTCTTTTTTTCTTTTTTTGAAAGAATCACCTGTGTATTTATACTAAAACAATTATTTGCCTCAGCCTCRGTGAATGTTGGAGAATATTTACCTCGCCGCTCGAAGACTCGCGTCTCGGTAAATATTCCCCGATAATCACTTCGCCTTCGGCGAATAATTGTTAATTACAAATAAAATATAGCTTAACTATTTTATACCCAAGATTGCACGTAGGACATAATGCGCTGACCTGTTGGAAAGGATAGTGAAATACTGCCAAATAAACAACAGCTTTCTGTATTCTGATTGGCTTTATTTTCAATAGTGTGGGATTAATAAGGATTTATAGTTCAAAAATCGTTTTCAGTACGCGCGCATGCGATTTTATCCCGAATTTCTCTCCTTTTGTTTAAATCTTCTTTTGTTCTTGATTAAAGAAAAGAAGGTGAGAAATTCGGGATAAAATCGCATGCGCACTGAAAACGTTTTTGAACTATAAACTGGCTTATACTAATAGTTGCAATATTCCTAGTGCATCATGGGAAACATTCGAGATAGCTAAGACGTAGGAGCATAATTTTTATTTGGAGGGCTAAAATTAGGTTGTTTAGCAAATTTGATTCGATTGTTACTCGCTAGCATAGAAAATACTATATAGCTACTTCTATTGAATTTTTATTATTTTGGAATTCAAGAATTTATTTTATAATTGTGAATATCTTTACAAACGGTAAATTTGAAAAATCATGTTTTGATTCAAATGAAGTCCCTCACGGTCCTATATGATGATAGCAACAATATACGATGTACTGATCGACACTCTTGTTTTTCATGTTTATTTCCTCGTCAAATTTCCTACTGATAGATACTTAGGCAACTAGATGGCGTAAAAGGAATGGARTTAATGGAATCGACTGAAATTTTCCTTCGAATATCATAAGTGTCCTTTTGAGTGCTGTGATCTTTGCAAACCTCGCTACCTCGTACTCCTTCACACGCTTCAGAGGGACGCCTTCTGTCGATGTAATAGCTAAGAGAAAATAAAGTTACTTTGGTATCCATTTGAGTGTTGTGATCTTCGTAAAACTCGCTACTCCGCACTCACTTCACACGCCTCAGAGGGACGCCTTCTGTCGATGTAATAGCTAAGAGAAAATAAAGCTACTTTTGGTGTCCTTTTGAGTGTTGTGATCTTCGTAAAACTCGCTACTCCGCACTCCTTCGCACCCTTCAGAGGGACGCCTTCTGTCGATTGATTTCTAAAATTCAATTCCCCGTGGTAGATCGCCTTTACCTTGTTTTAAGTCATTTTTAATTGTCAGATTTTTACTTAAGATTTTTTTAATTTTTTTAAAATTTAGTCTAACGATGGTAGCGCTATAAAYGATTATAGAAAGCATAAAAAGGTTTGTTCGAGTTTTCAAGTTTGGTTTGTGTTATCGAAGGTTTCCTTTTCCTTATGCTTCTGCTTCTGCTTCTGCTTCTGCTTCTGCTTCTGCTTCTGCTTCCGCGTCCGTACGTCGCTAGTGAAAACCAGATTCTTATGCTTCCGTCGCCAACATACAGAAGCAGAAGGTAGTAACCCAATGAAATTCTCGTACTCAGTCCCCTGCACGGGAAACTTTCTATTGTTCCTCTCATGCTTCTATATTTCTAATCTATATTCTATTATTTTAAAAATCAAAATAGAAAAACGGGGAAAAAGGRGCAAAAGGGTGAGTAGGTATAATGTTTAGGTCACCCATCCAAGTGCTAACCCTCCTCAGACGAGCTTGACTCAGTATCTTTGAACGGCAACGATTTATCCACTGAACCACGGTTC